CTAATCAATTTACAGAAGTTCTTTATATATTCTGGGCATCATGTCTGTAGCTTACCATTAAATTATTAAAATACTGTGTGTGTAAATGAAGAAAGTGTTGTTAAATGTTAATAATTAGAGGATCTAGTTATTTTCTGAGGCATACTACATTTGCATTCTGCAAATTATAAAATTCCTCAAAATCATACACAGACTATGTGATAGACCTGGGGTTGCAACCTGATAATTTTTCCTCCAGAAAACAATACTTAATTGCAAAATACAACACTTATCCAAAGAGAAGACATGTTAGAAGAACTGGTAATGTGGCTTGTAAATGGAGATGTGGGTGCTTACTAAATGTTATTTTCTGTCCTCCTTATAACCATTTGGGAACCTTCTGAGAGGAATGCAGCTCAGGATGCCCCCTAATGGTTCAAATTCTCCTGAGCACTCAGCTGCTCCAGAGGCTGCTCCTGGTATCCTGGTGTTTAGCTCATTTAAAAGGAACTATTGTTGCACAATATGCCCCCTGATCAATAAGAACTTTGGATAGAGCAGGAGGACACAGGAGATGTGGGGATTCCCTTTCCTGCTTTGTCCTTGATCTTGACTTTAGAGATTTTACTGAGCAATTTAACTTGATAACACAGTACCCCAGTCTCTGCTCTTCTAGTTCTGCAACCAATACACCTGCAGCAATTTCCCCCTCAACAGTGAGATGTTTTTACTGACTTTAACATGCTAATATGGTCTTTTTTTTCTCCACTGGATGAGAAAATGCTGATATGATTGTTAGAGGGAGGAAAAGAGAAGGTATGAATTGAACAAAGGGGATAACTTGGCATATATTGGAAGTGAACTGGTTTAAATCTCTTCATAGATTTGATTTTTAAAATTCAACTATCAATAATTTTGTCCCAACAGTCTGATTCTTACTGCTAAATCTTCTGGCATAGATCTAGGCAAGGTTTTTTCCACAATGAATTTACCTTATGAAACGACAATTACAATGTCAAATTCTTTGTGACGAGGAATTGTGGTTCTCACCTGATGGAAACATAAGCAGAACTTCCATGGGAATTCTTACACTTCTCGTGCTTCTGTTGAGCTGGGCTTGGAAGACAGTAAATAGGTATGGGAAGTAGGGACTAGGTGATTTTGAGCCCAAAAGATCTTGGGCTCAGAAAATTAGTATTTTTTTGTTGTTGTTGTTGGTTCCTATGGATTTCCTCAGTATCCTCTTCCTAAAAGAAATGCCAGATGAGACAATGGCTGGCTCTGTGTCACTATCGTCCTGTTTCATATCCAGGAACACATGTCATTTTTAGAGAATTGAAACTACAATCTTATGTTGAATCTGAGGAAAAGGCACAACAACACAAGAGAAAGATTGACAATAAACATCATTTTCTTACAGAGGCCTCCTGGCCCTAGGGGCAGATTTGCAGTCACCTGGGGGAACATTTTCTTCTCCATGCTTGCATGGGAGAATAATATGCTTTTAAAAACAAATCAAGAAAGGTCAGAGTGTAGCCTTCTAATGCTGCACTCCCAGGGTCCGTGAGAACTGCTACCATGTGCCAGTTCACACTCGTCTCTGACTCACATTGACCTCGCTGTCTCCTGCTACTTTGGCTCAGGTCAAATCAATTCCAAAAAGGTGCGGTAATTATTTCTATACCAGGATTTATCTTATTTACTCTAAATAAGGATGATTCAGTTGAGGTCCCTGCCGTTGAACATCTTACAGTTTCAGAGAAAGGAAATAATTTCAATATAATTCATTAAGAGTTATGATGCTATAGGTACACTTATGTATCTAGGATAGACTAGTTTGAGAATGTATGTATTTGTGTGTGTGTCTGTTTTGTTGGGAGTGGCTGGGAGTGGGGAGTGGGGAAAAGGTGTGGGTCAGAAAAGAAAATGATCCAAAATTTTTTCCCAAATGGGATCTTGAAAAATCTATAGCAGGTGAAGAAGTCATAGAAATTACCAATATCCTGTAACTGCCCATTCAATAAGTTAAACACTGATTGCAGGCATCACTTTGAGCTTTGCAACAATTGTTTAGTTCTATGCTATCTACCTCTTTGCATCAAAACAGATAGATATTTGTTTACCATTTAATTTTCCCTGAGATCTAGTCACATGATTGATACAGTTGCACTAGTTTCTATTCTGCAAAGGATGCGTGGCAGAGAAATAAGTCTAAAGGACCCAAACTGAACTATATCCTGGAAACTAAGAACCTATGAAGTAATAACTTACACTAAATGGGTGACAATTCTAAAAGTATCTATCTTAACATAGCTTGTGTTCTCAAAATTTATTTTTATGTCAGCTGTTTTGACAACAGACTCTATTTCCCTTTAGAAGCAATTCTATATCAGTTTGATGTAAATAATTGTTAGGTGATACAGAATCACTTGGCCCAGTACATTCATTCATTAAACCACGATATGTTGTGAATCTATGATGTTCTAGGGACGACTGTGGAAAAGACCCTGATGCTGGGAGGGATTGAGGCCAGGAGGAGAAGGGGATGACAGAGGATGAGATGGCTGGATGGCATCACCGACTTGATGGACATGAGTTTGAGTAAATTCCGGGAGTTGGTGATGGAGAGGAAGGCCTGGCGTTCTGCAATTCATGGGGTTGCAAAGAGTTGGACATGACTGAGCGACTGAACTGAACTGAACTGAACTGAACAGCCCTAGGGATGAAACGCGACTATAGTTTGGTTCCTCCTATCTGACGGCCTCTAGGTTTGGGTTTTCTATCTGTATTGCCTTTACTAAGCATGTGCTTGGCCAATAATATTTGCTCACAAATCAGGTAATTGAATATTGCAACAGTGTTGAATGCTCAAGGAAAACAATGCTGTCTCTGTGTACCAGGCTTACCTGTTAATAGAGGGACTACGCTGAGCAAAAACCAATGAGGTTTAAAAATGCAGTGTGTCCTGGGTATGTGGCAGGAAAAATAACTAGAAAAGTGACTTGGGGTCGATAAGGAAGCCATAAATGACCATCAAGCAGAGATGAGATTGTTCTTATTAATGTTTTATTTGTTCATTTATTATTTCAATGTTGAATTGAAATCTTTCATCATATTGACCCATCGAGAACCATCCAGGAACCTAAGATTCCATTATCTGATAACATAGAATGTAATTATGACTTTTTGAGAAAACTCTTCCGTTAGCCCATAACTTCCTAACTTGAAATTCTTCAATTCCATGAGGGTTCTTCAATTTAGATATAAATGCTACTTCTTTGTTTTTACTTTAACTGAAATTTTTTTCTTGTTTGGATGTAGCAGTATCCATGACTTTATCACCAACAGAAATTAGAAGTATTTTAAAATAATATTGCAGTTGTTTAAGTTACCTCAAAATCATATTTAAGCTCATCATTTTGAAACTAAGGTGATTATTAGATCTGCCTAAGTTTTAACGTATTAAAGAGTCACATGTATTATTATGTCACATAGTTTTTTTCCCCAAAACTATTTTGGTAACTGTTTCATTGGTAATCTTATGTATTCTATTTGATGTATGTATTTTTAAATTTATTTTTAATGTGATATATTTTTTAAAATACTTTGAATCACCTTTACCAAACACAAAAAGGACTGGTAGCCCAAAACTTGCATAGGGTTCTAAACTTTAGTCTTAAGTAAATTTCTTTCCTTTCTGTTTTTGCAACGGCTCCACAAAAATTTTATTCTTGTTCCCACATTATTGCAAGTCTCTCTAGGCTTTCTACACAACTCAACTAAAAACTATGTGGTCAAATTATTTTGATTAACTTCATGAAACATAATTGATTGAATAGAGTTCTATGCTATGTCTTTTAAAGAACACAAAAATGTTTCTGGCTTACTTCGCTCTGTATAATGGGCTCCAGTTTCATCCATCTCATTAGAACTGATTCAAATGAATTCTTTTTAATGGCTGAGTAATATTCCATGGTGTATATGTACCACAGCTTCCTCATCCATTCGTCTGCTGATGGGCATCTAGGTTGCTTCCATGTCCTGGCTATTATAAACAGTGCTGCGAAGAACATTGGGGTGCACGTGTCTCTTTCAGATCTGGTTTCCTTGGTGTGTATGCCCAGAAGTGGGATTGCTGTGGGAGAAGGCGAGGGTGGGATGTTTCAAGAGAACAGCATTGAAACATGTATATTATCTAGGGTGAAACAGATCACCAGCCCAGGTTGGGTGCATGACACAAGTGCTCGGGCCTGGTGCACTGGGAAGACCCAGAGGGATCGGGTGGAGAGGGAGGTGGGAGGGGGGACCGGGATGGGGAATACATGTAAATCCATGGCTAATTCATTTCAATGTATGACAAAAACTACTGTAATGATGTAAAGTAATTAGCCTCCAACTAATAAAAATAAATGGAAAAAAAAATAAAAAATAAATAAAAAATAAAATTAAAAAAAAACAACACAAAAATGAAAAAGACATAGACACAGTTATCAAAGGAGTTTTTCGTCTCTGAGAAGAGTAGAAATATAATGCAAGACATGATAATTCAATAATAAGCGAGAGATGATGGGCTGGAAGTGGTGGATTAGTACTGTTTAGTCTGAATAAAACCAGACAGGGTTCTGGCTTAAAATGGATATTACGTTATAATGGTGTTTTGGAAGTTCACTGATGGCTAAGATTTTTATTCAGGAGCTCCAGTTGAAGTGGGGGACAGGATTGTCAGAAAGATTATAGCACATGCAGAGTTATCCCTTGGTTTCCTAGCTCTTTCAAAATAGGTTATTTTGTCTGAGGAAAAAATATCAATTCTACAAGGTATTTTGGTTCTTTTTCTTATATCTTGGTGAGTGACTTGTTCAGGGAAGAAACAATAGGAAGATTTTTATGTATCTACACCATCATGAGATGGGGGAGGTGTCACAACAGCAAAATAAGACTCAAATGTTTTTGCTGATAATAAAGAGAAATTAAATCTCATGACTTAACAGGTGAATTCGATCTATTGTTTTTATCATTAGATGTATGATGTTCAGATAGAGAAGATGATGAAGATGATTCTTTTGATCTACCATATGTTTGTCAGATGACACTAGAAATGAATGTACCATCTTATGAAGTATTAAGTTTTGCAACATTGAAAACATTCCAAAAACGCAGTATAGTCATCTTCTAACAGTCTAATAAAGGGGGTTCTTAAAATGGTTGGTATGATTGGGGGCAATTTCTAAGCCTTCCAGCTCTGAATTGTATAATCTTATAGGCTATACCCACCTATATATACTGTACAGTGACTTCACACTGATAGAACTGTGAGACAGACAAATCAGACGCAGGTGACAGAATTCCTCCTTCTGGGACTCTCTGATGACCAGCACACCCAACAGCTGCTTTTCACCTTATTCCTGGGTGTCTACCTGGTCACCGTGCTTGGAAATCTGCTTCTCATGTTCCTTATTCAGGCTGACTCTCAGCTTCATACACCCATGTATTTTTTTCTCTGCGATCTCTCTCTGGCTGACCTCTGTTTCTCTACCAACATCGTTCCTCAAGCCCTAGCCCCCCTGCTCTCCAGAAGGAAAGTGATTTCGTTCACATGCTGTGCAGCTCGGCATCTGCTGTTCCTCGTTTTCGGGTGTACACAATGTGCCCTGTTGGCGGTGATGGCCTGTGATCAACAGGTGACTATCTGCAACCCTCTGCGTTACCCTAGCACCATGACCCTAGCTGGCTGCAGGATCATGGACCAGTGGCATTCTGGTGTCTGTGGTGGACACCACCTTCACACTAAGGCTGCCCTATCAAGTCAGCAATAATATTACTCATTTCTTTTGTGAGGCCCCTGCAATTTTGATCCTGGCATCCACAGACACCCACACTTCAGAGATGGTCATTTTCCTCATGGGGGTTGTGATTCTCCTCATACCGGTTTCTCTAATCCTGGTATCCTATGGCCGCATCATAGTGACTGTGGTCAGGATGAGGTCAGCTGAGGGCAAGCTCAAGGCATTCTCAACCTGTGGCTCCCATCTCGTGGTGGTCATCCTTTTTAATGGGTCAGGAATTGTCACCTACATGACACCAGAGTCTCACAAAGAACAGGAAAAGCTGGTATCTGTGTTCTATGCGATGGTGACACCCATGCTTAATCCCCTCATCTACAGCCTGAGGAACAAGGACGTGAAGGGAGCTCTGAGCAAAGTAGCCACAAGGAATTTCCCATGCAGGTTTGGAGTTTTCCACTGACACTGAGAACCTCCTGGCTGTCTACTTCTAAGACTGGCTGAGTAGGTGCCTCTGCAAGACTGGAATGTGGTAACTTTCATCCTTGGTACTTGTCTGTGGACCCACGCGCCATCCTTTACCCAGCACTCCCTCTGTAGAAGAAGAAGGACAATAATTCATGGAATATTAGGAAGGATGCTCTGCTTCCTTCAGGTGGGTCTTTTAAAAAAATCAACCGAGAAACACTCCCATTTTATATCAATAAATACATCAATGAATTATCAATAAATTCTTATGAATACTTTGCACAAAGCTACAGTGCCCATGTCCCAAGTCTGCTTCTTTTACACCCTTTCTGTCAAGCAAGTCCCATATCCAAGGTGGATAGTTTGAGATTAAGGCAGTTTTCCATGTAGTGAATTAGTTTCCCCCATGTGAGGCACAGACCAATTATGGTAGCAGAGGAAGTCCTCAAATCATACCCTTCTAAACATGGGTACTTTACAAGCAAATGGAGGATTTAAAGTATCATTTTATTTTCTCTCTTTCTCACTAGAATATAAATTCCATGAGGCAAGAAATTTGTTTTATTCACCCATGTATCTTCAGGGTCTAAATAAGGTCTGACATATGCTGAATACAAATTTACTGACATTTTGAGATCTTAAATTTTTTGAAGTTTGATTTTAAACCCAAAGATTTTTGGGGAAAAAAAGTGAGTGAAGGAATGAAGCAAACTCTACTATTTATTATCATAATTATCATTAATTTATCTCCTAAACAGAAAGATCTTTGAAAGTTACTGGTGGAGTTTTTGGACGTACAAAAGAAAATAGAGCAGAAAATCATAAAATGACATGAAGAAGTTCAAGAAAAGTTAAAGCAAATAAGAAATGACACAAAGTAATGAAGTTGTCAACCATCAGACTGCTAATCTGTGTAAACTAATATAGCATCCTCAGAGACATCGGTACCCCAGTCCCAGAGAATACTGGGTCTACTGAAGTTCTTTATTGCATCACCCATGTTCTTTCATTCATTAATGGATCCCAGTGGAAAGTCCAAAGTCCCAGTGTGTATACTGGGGCTCTTGGAAAGAATAGAGACCAAAGACGTATTTGAGGAACTTGCCTTTCTTTCCTTTGTCTATGTGCTCCACCCCCTCAGTTTCCATCTAAGTCATCATAGTTTCTGAAAGCCCAGGCTCCTGCGGATGGCCCGCCCTAGCGCAGCCTTTACTTCACTGTTCCTCAAGCTGTAGATGATGGGGTTCAACATGGGAGTCACCACAGTGTAGGAGAGTGACAACAGCTTCTTGCTCTCAGGAGAGTTGCTGGACCGGGGTCGAAAGTATGTGAGGATGGCAGTGCTGTAGAAGAGCGAGACAACCAGAAGGTGGGAGGAGCAGGTGGAGAAGGCCTTGCGCTTCCCCTCAGCTGCGGGCATCCTGAAGATCGTGGAGAGGATGCGGACATAGGATCCCAGGATCAACAAGAAAGGGAAGAGGATGAATAGGACAGTAGCTGTTAGAGCTTCCAGTTCAAACAGAGTGGTGTCAGCACAGGCCAGTGCGATGACAGGGGGGCTGTCACAGAAGAAGTGGTTCACCCTGTTGGGGCCACAAAAAGGGAAGCTGAAAATCCATGTGGTTTGCACAGTAGCCACTGGGAATCCTGAGAACCAGGAGGCAGCTGCCAGCTGGCCACAGGCCCTGCGACCCATGATGACTGGATAGCGCAAAGGGTCACAGATGGCCACGTAGCGGTCATACGCCATGGTGGCCAGGAGGCAGCACTCAGCAGCTCCGAAGAAGAAGAAGAAGTACATCTGGGTAGCACAGCCAAGGAAGGAGATGGTTGTGTCCTGGATGATCAGGGTCCCCAGCATCTTAGGCACAATAACCAAGTTGAAACCTATCTCCAGGAAAGACAAGTTCCTGAGGAAGAAGTACATAGGACTTTGGAGGGCAGAGTCAGCTGTAGTAACCAGGATTATGAGGACATTTCCCACCAGGGTAACAAGGTAAATGGTCAAAAAAAGGAGAAACAACAGAGCTTGTAGCTGAGAGGACAAGGATGAGAAGCTCACAAGAACAAACTCACTGACAACTGTCCAGTTTCCCCACATCATTCCCCTGCTCAGGATTTCATTGGACAGTCACACTCCAGGAAGGTGGCAGTCTCCATATGTCATTTAGATTCTATTACACCCTAAGAAAGGGAAATTCTCATGGCCTCATTCTTCATCCTCTTCTTATTATTGTTGAAGCCTAAACAGCTATACTTTCAATGTTAAAAACAAGTCTGACTATGGGATTCACTTTTTTTTTTAAAAGAATATCAACTGTTTTTGTTTTTTTCAGACTGAACTGGGGCATACCATACACATCTATACATGTCCTGACTTTTCTTTACTCAATAGAGGATGGCCAAAGACACAGCTTCATTTCTGTGCTTCTATCCTATCTCTCTTCAACAGTCAGTAGTGCTAAAAAAGAAGCCAGGCCAACCATTTCTGAAGAGAAGGGTCTTAATGTACAGAAAGGTGGTGAGGGCGTGTTTTCTGCAAAATGAAAGAGGGAAGGAGAAAGTCAAGGAAAGTGAGTTACCATTACCAACGATCCCTGAGGAGGAAACCTGAATGTGTCCCAGTTTGGAGCAGCTCGTACTTGGGAAGAGTTCAGTATACTGGAGTAATCATTTCTAAACTCAGACAATTGTAGTTTAAACAAGAAGATGAATAATATAGGAACTGTGGTTTATCTTAATCACAGGACTAAATATCCTGTATGTGGTTATATGTGATCAGACAAAGAGACATAGACTTAAAATACTGTCAGACCATAGAGAGCATCCAGGTATGTTATGTATGAACCCTTTCATTAGCTTCTACTGGTCATCTTGTGTCTTGACTCTCAGGAAATATGAAACAAACTTTACACATTAATAAAGACCAAATCAAGTATGTAAGTGTGACTAATAATGTTAAATCCTGTGAAAAAGAATCAGAAGGTTTCACCATTGTATCAATAACTAAGCTTCAAAATTGGAACCCTGAAAGTTTTTTCAATGACTATAAACTTAAATGAGGCAATAAATCTAAAGCACGTAGCATGGTGACTGGCCTATAACACACACTCAGTGAATGCTAATCATTATAATTATAATGATTTAAAGCTAGATCTACCTTCTAAAATCTACTTCTTATATAATCTATTGCCCAAAATCACTGTAGCCTTTTATTTTCAATCCCTAAGAGAAAAAAATAATTTATTCAATGAATATTATCTTTAGTGTGCCAGACACTGCTCTAGATATTGAAGATAATATACTAGTAAAAAAGCAAACAAAAATCTCCACCCTCATATAACTCACTTTTTAACAGGAAATGTGGGTTATAGCAAGTTATATGAATAGAATATTTATTATGTTAGATGATGAGAAGAATAAAGCAGTGGAGAAGACAGGATTTAGGGTGTGGGGCATGTCACAGAAGGTTTCACTGAGAAGATGATTTTTGCGTGAAGTCCTGAGCAAGACATGAAGTCAAGGTGGTGAAAGAAAGAGGGAGGTGAAGAGTGAAAATAGTGAGAAAGAGTCTTTTAAGTTTTTTTTCCTATTTCCTATTCATTTAAAAAATCTCAGGCTGGGCATCACTTTATTACTTTATTACTATTACTGGGCATCACTTTTTTATTTACTTTATAGAAACTTTTTTGAAATCTTATTTATTTTCATAGTAAAAATGAACATTTATTGAGCACCAAGTCAATACTAGACAGTACTCTGAGTGTTTTGCAAGTGTTGTGGTTGTTTTGCAACTACCAGAAGATGTAGGGACTATTGCTAGTTTAACTTTACATCCAAGGCATCTGAGGCCCAGAGAAGGGAGTAATTTTCCTAGAGTTAGGCAGCCAGCAAGTGTTGGCATCTGACTCCAAACCATGGGCTTGCCTGTTAGGTGGCATTTTCACCCCCTCTCTGAGGACGGAAATGAATGAGCTGGAGCGCTCGGCATACGATGGTAGCAAAGGAGAAAAAAAGCAAGATTACTTCTAGAAGGGCAGAACATTTCAAGGTGTTAGCACCACTGGAGACCTGAAATACCTCTTTCACAGTCCTTATCTTAGAATAATCACGAATATATGTCTCCATCTCATAGTCTAGGGGATATATTCCTTGAGAGCAGAAATTGTGTTATTCAACTTTTTATCCCAACACCTTGCAAGGCAGATACCCAATAATTTGTTATTAATTGAAGAATGAAGAAGATATGAAAATAATTAGGGAAATACCTATATAGGCAGTGTGTAGGCACAGTGAGCCACATTCATGAGGAATTTAGACACAAAAAAACTGCATACATCAACAGTACAGCCTCAGATGTAGAGACTGGTGAATCATATCTTCCTCCTGCCCAACCTCGCCACCCCCTCTTCCCCACTTTCATCTACCTCATTTCAGGACATGATGCCACCTGGCTGTGTCCCCAGGAACTGGGTTAAAAATTCTTAATTCATCCCCCAAACTTGACTATTTTTCTTCCTAAACACTGATTCAAGATCGTCTTCTCCATCTCTATCATCATGGCTTTAGGTTCTGGCTCTTATTTCCTCTGGCCTAGAATCTTATAGGAACCTGACTCTGTCTCATTCTCTTCGATCCATTCTTGACTTGTATGTGATCTGACAGTGGCTTGAACAAAGTTATTTACCTGCTAACTATCTTTCAGTCACTCCTTACTGTTCTTGGAATAAGTAAAATTCTTAAAAGGTCTTCTTCTCTGATTTCTGCTTATTTTTCCAGTTTGAAACCCCCTACAGAGCTGATGCTCTAATCACACCAAAATGCTTTCTGTTCTGGGCACACATGGTTTTCTCTCACCTCTCCTTGCCTTTCTGCCTGTGGCTCTCTACTCTGGGAAACTCTTCCTGCAACTATTTATAACATTCTGCTAATTTTTCAAGTCTCAGTGGGAACATCATTTTCTGTGTGAAGTTTCCCTGTCCTCCCTTGGACAGATCAGGGGATTATTCTTTTAACACTTGATGGAAACTGCTATTAGAACATCTTTATAATTGTGTATGTGTGCATCTATTTATGTTCTATAATTATTAACATCATGAGGACAAATGTATTCATTTGCCACTGTATCTTTTGCAACTAGCAGAATTCTTAACTCTAAGTGCTTAATAATTAATGTAGCCTAAGGTTTAACTTTTTTCAAAGCAGGTTGACTGATACTATTGGATCTCTAGGTGAACCAATAGTCATATAAGGCCTGTGTGTGTGTGTGTGTGTGTGTGTGTGTGTTTCCTAGCCGACAGATTAGATTTTATCTTCCAAGTTATATTTGTTTTGTTTACTTTTATTTTTGCTGTGTACTGAGAAGACACTTTTAAAGTTTTACTCCATTATAACAGCATTGCATTACTTAGTGTGGCATAAAAGTCTGATTCACTCACATATTTAATCAAAATATTTCTTAGGACAGAGCCAAGACTCTAGGGCACATAACTTAAGCCTAATTCCCAAATGATTGGAAACTAATTTTTAATCTCTACTCTTTAAACAAATAGAAAAGCTACTTTATATTTTTATCAGTGACTTTAAATCATTTCGGACATGGTGGGGTATAAATAAGCATATGTACTCTCATCTGGAATGCATCTCTTTAAAATAGTAACAAAGGTCTCATAAAAAGTTCATCAAATGCCTTAGGTGAAACACAGGTAAATCGTATAAATACTTATTTTTTAACCCAAAGTTGAATGTCAAGTTCCTAATAAAAATTTTTTAACCCAAAGTTGAATGTCAAGTTCCTAATAAAACCTTTTCTGATCATTCCCACACCTAACTGGATGTAACTAATTACTCTTTCCCTGTGTTCCTCCAGGATTTTAAAATACTCTTATTATAATAATGGTTTTGTGTCACAATTATATGTGTCCTTGCCTGCAAATTGTACACTTCTTTAAGCCACAAACCAAAATGTATCCATCACTATATCCACATTACATTATCTAGTACCCACAAAGTAACAGTAAATGTTTGTTGAATGAGTAGTTAGCATTTATCTTAATGCCATCAATTAATTGGCTTAATATCTTGGGGTCACCTGGTGGCTAAGGCGGTAAAGAATCTGCCTGCAATGGGGAGACGTGGGTTTAATCCCTAGGTTGGGAAGATCCCCTGGATAAGGGAATGGCAACCCACTCCAGTGTTCTTGCCTGGAGAATCCCATGAACAGAGGAGCCTGGCAGTCTACAGTCCATAAGTTTGCAAAGAGTCCAAAGACTGAGCAACTGAACATGTCCATGTGCACTAATAACTTAAAAAGTTAATGGAGCTCTTTGTCATGAAATTCTCAGGGATTCAATGATGGATTAAACTCATCACTATCTTTTTTGGTATTTGTAAAAATCCTTTTAACAATGTTTTAAATTATTAGCTGGCAAGAGATATGGTGTGGGGTGTGATCACTCACCTAGAGCCAGACATCCTGGAATGTGAAGTCAAATGGACCTTAGGAAGCATCACTACAAACAAAGCCAGTGGAGGTGATGGAATTCGAGTTGAGCTATTTCAAATCCTGAAAGATGATGCTGTTAAGGTGCTGCACTCAATATGCCAGCAAATTTGGAAAACTCAGCAGCGGCCATAGGACTGGAAAAGGTCAGTTTTCATTCCAATCCCAAAGAAAGGCAAGGCCAAAGAAAGCTCAAACCACTGAAAAATTGCACTCATCTCACACACTAGCAAAGTAATGCTCAAAATTCTCCAAGTCAGGCTTCAATAGTACGTGAACCAAGAACTTCCAGGTGTTCAAGCTGGATTTAGAAAAGTCAGAGGAACCAAAGATCAAATTTCCAACATCCATTGGATAGAAAAAGCAAGAGAGTTCCAGAGAAATGTCTACTTCTGCTATACTGACTATACCAAAGTGTTCGACTGTGTGAATCACAGAAAACTGTGGAAAATTCTTAAAGAAACAGGAATACCAGGCCACCTTATCTGCCTCCTGAGAAATCTATATACAGGTCAAGAAGCAACAGTTAGAACCAGACATGGAACAATGGACTGGTTCCAAATTGGGAAAGGAGTACGTAAAGGCTGTATATTGTCACTCTGCTTATTTAACTCACAAGGATAGTACATCATGCGAAATGCCAGGCTGGATGAAGCATAAGCTAGAATCAACACTGCCAGGAGAAATATCAATAGCCTCAGATATACAGATGACACCACCCTTGTGACAGAAGGCAAAGAGAAACTAAAGAGCCTCTTGATGAAAATGAAAGCAGAGAGTGAAAAAACTGGCTTAAAACTCAACATTCAAAAAATGAAGATCATGGCATCCAGCCCCATCACTTCCTGGCACATAGATGGGAAAAAAATGGAAACAATGACAGACTTTATTTTCTTGGACTCCAAAATCACTGCAGATGGTGACTGCAGCCATGAAATTATAAGAAGCTTGCTCCTTGGAAGAAAATCTATGATCAACCTAGACAGTATATTAAAAAGCAGAGACATTACTTTGCCAACAAAGGTCTGTCTAGTCAAAGCTATGGTTTTTCCAGTAGTCATGTAAGGATGTGAGAGTTGGCCCATAAAGAAAGCTGAGCATTGAAGAATTGATGCTTTTGAACTGTGGTGTTGGAGAAGACTCGAGTGTTTCTTGGACTTCAAGGAGATCAAAGCAGTCAATTGTAAAGGAAATCAGTCCTGAATATTCATTGGAAGGACTGATGCTGAAGCTGAAGCTGAAGCTCCATATGTTAGCCACCTGATGGGAAGAACTGACTCACTGGCAAAGACCCTGATGCCGGGAAGGACTGAAGGCAGGAAGAGGAGGGGACGACGGCGGGTGAGATGGTGGGATGCTATCACCGACTCAATGGACATGAGTTTGAGCAAGCTCTGGGAGTTGGTGATGGACAAGGAAACTTGGTGTGCTGCAGTCCATGGGGTCGTGAAGAGTCTGACACACCTGAGCAACTGAACCGAACTAAGAGATATGGAAAAAATGTACAATTATAAAACATTTGAATTATTAGTTATTATTATTATTGATATTGTATATAATATGTGTGTTAGTCAGTCATGTCTGACTCTTTGTAACTCCATGGGCTGTAGTCCTCCAGGCTCCTCTCTCCATGGAATTCTCCAGGCAAGAATATTGCAGTGGGTAACCATTCCCTTCTCCAGGGGATCTTTCCAACCCAGGGATCGAACCCAGGTCTTCCACTCTGCAGGCAGACTCTTTACCAGCTGAGCCACCAGAGAAGCCCAAGAATACTGAGTGGGTAGCCTATCCCTTCTCCAGCATATCTTCCTGTCCCAGGAATTGAACCTGGGCCTCCTGCATTGCAGGTGGATTCTTTACCAGCTGAGCTACCAGAGAAGCCCATTAAATAATTTATATATACATGTATAAAAATATATATAATTTATATATACATATATAAAAGTATACAGTACAGTTTCTATAGTTACAAGAAGCCTCTAAATCCAACCTTTTGGTAAAGCAGTATTAGGCAGATAGAAAGCAATCCAATGAGGTGTGGCCACGTTGTATGACAGTTGAAACCAGAGGAATACTGCAGCAAACATAGTTTGAGAAGTTCCTGATGACACTACTTAGACA